TTGTCCGAAGTCGCAAGAGACAAGAGGATTAACGAACTTCGAGTCCTTGTATTTCACAAGGCGTTAATATCAAGTCAAAACAATAAATTAGGAAAGTATTTGACTATGAGGTCGCATCCACTTATTTTTATTATTATTTTGCATGTCGGTTCTCCTCTTACATATTTCTCATATTTTTGTAGGAATACCGTCCCCGACAGCAGTCGGGGATGGTCATAACAATGTCTGGATCTCGTGAAAAATGGAAGGAGACAAAGATCCAAGAAAACATCCAAAAAGAGTACAACAAATCATTACTATAGAAATTCGTAGGGTACATTCAACAGACAGTATAAATATTGACGATTAAGATGCTATAAAACATATTGGTTAAAAAAAAGCATTTCATGAAAACAAATTTTAGTGGCGCTAGACATAAAAATTTCTTTGAATTGTCTAAATCTTTAAATTCTTATATGCTATATCTGTCGAACTACGCGTACCTGATTCTACTTTTAATGAGATACGTAGGCAACCCTTCTTGGGTTTGGTATTATCTTCTTTTTTAAAAAAAATTAAAAAATTAAAAAAAATAATTAATTAATAGTTTGTGCATATTTTTCCAGCCATATCTGGTCGAACTACGCGTACCTGATTCTCATTTTAATGAGATACGTAGGCAACCCTTCTTGGGTTCGGTATTATTTATTTTTTTTCTAAAAAAAATTTAAAAAAATTAATTAATAGTTTGTGCATATTTTTCCAGCCTTATCTGGTCGAACTACGCGTACCTGATTCTCATTTTAATGAGATACGTAGGCAACCCTTCTTGGTTCGGTATTATTTTTTTTCTAAAAAAAAAATTAAAAAAAAATTAATTAATAGTTTGTGCATATTTTTCCAGCCTTATCTGGCCGAACTACGTGTACCTGATTCTCATTTCGGTGAGATACGTAGGCAACCTTCTTGGGTTCGATATTATCTTTTTTTTAAAAAAAATTATAAATAGTTTGTGCATATTTTCCAAGTCATATCTGTCGAACTACGCGTACCTGATTCTCAATTTATTGAGATACGTAGGCAACCCTTCTTGGGTTCGGTATAATCATTTTTCAAACAAAAATAAAAATAAAAAATAAATTTTTTGTGCATACTGTTAGAGTCATATCTTCAACTCGGTCGGGACCATGTAGTTAAGAGCAGGTAAATATATTTGATATTATTAAAAAAAAACTGACTTTGCGGTAAACTACAGATTCTTGTGGTACCTCTTATCTGTACTTTTGTGATGCTTGAAAATTCTCTTGCATTCCTCAAGATAAGAATAAAACTAGCCTCATGTTTCATGTGCATTGTGTGGTGAGATTTTGATCAAAGTTCAATTGTGCTACACTGTTGATCTAGAACTTGGCCTGAATGTTTTTCGATGTAAAATCATGAGTAATGTTTGGTTTGAGAAAGGATTGTAGGCCTTTTTGACCCGATTGTGCCTTTCAAATCCTACCAAATTACATTAATCCTAGTTTTCCCACTTTGAGATTGAAACCTTTATTTGGACAACCACATCTTAACCACTACCCTTTTGAGTGCTTACGAGCACTATCCTCTCTTGGCCAAACTTTCTTGAGTGCACAAAGAATGTGCGAATTATAAGAGGAGATCCATGTTTGAAATTTTCAAAAGCAAAGATATTGAGTCTCCCAAAATCAAGGAAGCAAAGACTTCTAGAGAAAGAGAGACGGGAAGAAAGAAAGTGGAAGAAATAAAGAAAGTTAAAGAATACCCTTACAGGGTCAGTGAAATGAGGGAAGGAAAATATTCCAACAAAAAAAAAGGGAAAAATTATTGTAATAAAGAAGTGGATAAAGAAAAGCTTCAACGAATAAGGACTCAAAAGAAGAAGAAAGAAAAAGAAGAAGAAAAAATCTCAAAAAATGAGAAATGAAAAAAGAGAGGGAAAAACGTTAAAAATGAGAATTCAAAAGAAGATGAAAGGTGGGAGAACAATAAAGAGGATCTGACGCCAAAGGCGTACCAATCATTAAGAGCACAAATTCTGTGTGACGCTCAAGGAAGAATTCAGTCACTTTTATCTCAAATAAATATCCTACCCATCCCTAAGCCTACGGTACAAGCCAATGACAAGCCCTACATGATCTCATTCCAAATGTTCTCACATTAGTGGAGATATACATAAGGGTCAAGCATATGGTATCACAGTTGTGTACATTGAACATTCTTTTGAGTGTGAGTGCACTTTGAAAAATGTCCTATAATCCAATGTTTCAAATATGTGTGAAATAGGAGTAGTCTTTGTCGTGAGGGCGCTTGAAATATGAGGATTGATACAATTCAAAATCTTTGTTTGAAACAAGATGAACAGATCTTGTTAATCCTTAAGTATATTTGAGAAACCACTTGAAGCTGTAGGAATTACCTTAATTCAATCTCAAAAAAAAGAGAAGATTTACCTGCAATCTTAACTGTTGTTACCAATCGCGGTGAAGATTTGACTATCTCGTCGCATTTTTATTTTTTTTTAAAAAAAAGAAAAAAGAAAAAGGGATTAAAAAAAAGAAAAAGAAAAAAAAGTGGTCTTTTGAGTTGTTCATTAGAAAAGGTGTTGTTAACTTAATCTTATATATGTGAGACGCCTATTTTACTTCATTGAATTGTCTATTCCAAAAATGTGATATGTCTTGTCTTTAGGCTTTGAATATAGCAAAGAATACCATTTGCGTATTCCATCATGTTCATGTTGTGCCTTTTCTACTAATAATCTTTCAGATTCTTTGCAGCATTCATCATCCACAAGGGGAACTACGTTTGACCTGATTCCTGCTCCAATGGGATACGTAGGCGTCACAACGGCTCGGTCATATACCCAGTAAGATTTTCATTTCTCATCATAATGGAAACTGGGACAGAATTTTTGAGAGGATCTCAAAAATGATTTTAAGTTGGACCATTATCGAGCCGTCCACCTCGTTACAGTGGAACATTATCGAGCCATCCACCTCGTTACAGTTGGAACCTTATCGAGCCGTCCACCTCATTACAGTTGGAACATTATCGAGCCGTCCACCTCGTTACAGTTGGAACCTTATCGAGAAATCCACCTCGTTACAGTGGAACATTATCGAGCCGTCCACCTCGTTACAGTTGGAACCTTATCAAGACATCCACCTCGTTACAGTGGAACATTATCGAGCCATCCACCTCATTACAGTTGGAACATTATTGAGTCACCCACCTCGTTACAATTGGAACATTATTGAGCCATCCAGTCCTCGTTAAAAATCATGCATCACGAAAATTCAAGCATTGCGGAAAGATATTCATACCCCACAGAAGATCATGCATCGAGAGTTAATTCATGCATGACTAGAAAATTCATTCATTGAGAGTTCATATTCATGCATTGCGAGTTAATATTCATGCATTGCGAGTCAATATTCCTGCATCGCGAGAAGATTTCATACCTCACAGAAAATTCATGCATCGCGAGAAGATTTCATGCCTCGCAGAAAATTCATGCATTGCGAGTTCATATTCATGCATCGAGAGTCAATTCATGCATCGAGAGTTAATTCATGCATTGCGAGTTCATATTCATGCATTGCGAGTCAATATTCCTGCATCGCGAGAACATTTCATACCTCGCAGATAATTCATGCATCGGGAGAAGATTTCATACCTCGCAGAAAATTCATGCATCGCGAGAAGATTTCATACCTCGCCGAAAATTCATGCATCGCGAGTTCATATTCATGCATCGAGAGTCAATTCATGCATCGATAGTTAATTCATGCATTGCGAGTCAATATTCATGCATTGCGAGTCAATATTCCTGCATCGCGAGAAGATTTCATACCTTGCAGATAATTCATGCATCGCGAGAAGATTCCATACCTCGCAGAAAATTCATGCATCGCGAGAAGATTTCATGCCTCGCAGAATATTCCTGCATTGCGAGTTCATATTCATGCATCGAGAGTCAATTCATGCATCGAGATTTAATTAATGCATTGCGAGTTAATATTCATGCATTGCGAGTCAATATTCCTGCATCGCGAAAACATTTCATACCTCGCAGATAATTAATGCATCACGAGAAGATTTCATACCTCGCAGAAAATTCATGCATCGCGAGAAGATTTCATACCTCAAAAAAAAATTCATGCATCGCTAGTTAATGTTCATGCATCGAGAGTTAATATTCATGCATTGCGAGTCAATATTCCTGCATCGTGAGAAGATTTCATACCTCGCAGAAAATTCATGCATCGCGAGAAGATTTCATACCTCGCAGAAATGTATGCATCGCAAGAAGATTTCATACCTTGCGGAATTCATGCATCACTAATATTCATGCATTGAGAGTCAATTCATGCATCGAGAGAAGATCTCATACCTCGCAGAAAATTCATGCATCGCGAGAAGATTTCATACCTCGTAGAAAGTTCATGCATCGCGAGAAGATTTCATACCTCACAGAAAATTCATGCATCGAGAGTTAATATTCATGCATCGAGAGTTAATTCATGTATTGAGAGTTAATATTCATGCATCGAGAGTTAATTCATGCATTGCGAGTCAATATTCATGCATCGCGAGTTAATATTCATGCATCGAGAGTTAATATTCATGCATCGAGAGTCAATTCATGCATCACTAGTTAATATTCATGCTTTGCGAGTTAATATTCATGCATCGCAAGTTAAATTTTTTATGCATCGCGAGAAGATTCAAGTCCTCGCAAAAGTTTACATATCGCAAGAAGATTTCATACCTTGTGGAATTTATGCATCGCGAGAAGATTTCATCCCTCGCAAAATTTTATGCATTGCGAGAAGATCCCATCCCTCGCAAAATTTTATGCATCGCGAGAAGATTTCATCCTTCGCAAAATTTGCGCATCGCGGGAAGATATTCAGGCCCCGCAAGCAATCATGCGTTGTTAGAAAAGGGATCGTACATCTGAAAGGAAGTATTTATTCCTCAACGTCAACTGACGTTAAATGCCGATGAGAGAAATTGAGTGTCGATACGGTGGAAGACACTGTCTTCCATTTAAATTGCATTTTAAGCTGACGAGTTTTACCTCAATCTTTGTCAAAAGCATTTGAAAGGCTGAATTCCTTCCAAAAAAAAAACTACTTCAACAAGGACGCAACTCATCATAGAACCTTTTGGAGACATGTCTGTAATTGACTTCCACCACATGCAACCGCACATCTCTACAAAGGTCATGTGTTCAGTCAAAATTGGGTTTGTCAAATTTCGTTGTCCACGATTTCTTTCATCAATCATACACAACGAAAGGGACAGCTGTTGACACCCAATTTTGGCCTAACATTTTTTAAAAAAATCATAAGTTTGGGCCACAACGCTAAGCCCGTCATTTGAGCCGATTTTGAGTTTTTGTTTAAGTTGGTAACTAGGTCAAAAAAGGGGGGAGATTTTTCAGAAAAAAAAGGGGAGCCGCAGCCCCCCTCTTCTCTCTTCCTCCCAACAGCCTCCTCCTTCCCTCTTCCCCTCCCTTCTTCCCGCTTCCCCTCCCCTCTCCCTTCGCCCCTTCCTCTCCCTTTCCTTTCTCCTTCCTCTCCCCTTCCTCTTCCTCCCAGCCACCCCCTCTCCTCTCTGTTCTTCTCTTCTTCTCCGGCGGAGGAGCAGCAGCGCGAGAACGCCGCCTCTACTCCCTTTTCTGGTGGACAACAGCTGCGAGGAGAGCAATATCAGCCGGACAGCGAGCCTCCATCACTGGCAGCAGCTCCAGCTGGCGACAATAAGCCGCCAAGAATCAGCAACTCCGGCGAGCAACAGCAGCAGCGATGCCGGCGAGAACCAGCAACAACAGCTTCCAGCAACTCCGGACAGCAGCCACCCGGCAGCAGGCTCCGGCGAACAACAACAACAGCTCCGGCGATGTAGTGACTCACCGACATATTCCGCCGATAACATAATCAATCCCAAAACAATCAGCGTGGCTCCAATTCCGGTAATCTCTTTCAGCGTTTTTTCTTTTAGATCTGGCCGGGGGAGTCAAACTCCGCCCACTGTTGTCTTCCGAGCCATATTTTATTTTTTCCTCCGGTTAGTGTTGCTAATTTGATGC